CTGGCTTTTTTTTTTTTTTTTAAATTGTAGTTGTCTTTGTTTAGCAGGCTTGGGCAGGATTTGAACCCTCCTACCTTGGTGTATGTGGCCAATGCCCTAACCACTGAACCACAGGCACTGAGCCTAATTTTTCTATTTTTATTAGAAATGTAGTCTCTTGCTTTGCTCAGGGTGATGTCCAACTCCTAACCTCACGCAATCCTCCCGCCTTGGCCTCCCAGAATGCTAGGATTATAGATGTAAGCCATTGCATCTGGACCACTTTGAGATTTTAAGTCAATGCTTACCATTCTGTTTCATTCTGATCTCCCTAGCAGACCTTGCCAGCAGTCTTAGAACTGAGTATAGCATACTTGGTTGGGAGACACTTCCACAGGATGGATGGGACAAGCTAATTCAAGCAGTGGTGTGTGGATGGCAAGAACAGGATTTGGCACCAGATCTTTGTGACCTTGAAAGAGACAGTAATCTGGGTCTCTTTGTATGTGAAAGTGCTTGGTGACCATACAGTGTCAGTCAAATGAATGAATTTTTTCTGGGCATAGGACTGGGGCAGGCTAAGGAAGAAATATAAGATTTAGGAACTAGAGAGTGAAAGGAAGGGAAACTGACCTCTCTTTAGAGCTTACACATGTTCCTCCATCTGTATCTCCTGCATTTGGATGTAAGGGATGTTTTGCGTGGCAGTAGATTCTTTGTGCCTCTGTGGTTGCTATTGGGTTCAGCATACTGCCTGCAGTCATAAGGACCATTGCCATGGCTGCAGACAGCCTCCTTGGGCATGGAAAGCCACCGGCTTCACCAAGAGGCTGCTGTCCAGGGCAGGAGCTACTCTACTTGCAAAGCTGGGGGTATAGTTCTGTCTAGACAGGAAGCAGCACAACTCCTGGTTTTAAGTCGTAGTAACTACTAACAATTTTTAGCTTTCCTTATGCTCTTACTTGCCTTATCACAACCATACTACAAGTATCAGTCCTGTTTTATTATTTTTTTGGCCGGGGCTGGGTTTGAACCCATCACCTCTGGCATATGCGGCCAGCGCCCTACCCTTTGGAGCCACAGGCACCGCCCATCAGTCCTATTTTAAACAGCTACAAACTGACACTGAGAAATCAGCAACTTTGTGCAGTATCATGCTAATGAAGTGGTAAGGCCAGGATTTGAACTAAGATTCTGACTTCAAACCCTTTCATTTTAATTTTAATATGAAGGTTTTCATTTTTATTTCCTAATCTCAGAAGTGGAATTAGGATGCATAGGTAGGGTATCAACTGGCAGAAGGAAAGACCTCCCTCCTTCCCCTTCACTCTCCCACTTTTTCACCTGAATGCTTAAGAGTTAATGCCATGATCCTTAACAGGGAACTGCAAAGATGAAACTTGTGGTTCTAGAATGCAGGGCAGACTGCTTTGTGACCATTTTTGGTGACAGATTGTTGGTAATGGTCCTTCTTATTCTATTCCCAGGAAGAAGGGAATGGCTAAGAGATCAGGGAGCTGAGTTCATTGTGCTGACCACCACTTCCTGACTGAAGATTCTCAGATGAGCAAGTCCTCTTTGCAGAGGAGGACATCACAACCTGAAGGTGATCACCTTGTTGAGGCAATAGGTCTGTTTCCAGATTTGAAAAGCCTCTTGAATGTCATTACCCCAAAGCCAAGCCAGTTGGGAAAAAGCTACATAGCACAAGCTAATGAGCGCCTCAGATGTGGAGCACGTAAGTTTGTCTGCAGAAGAGAAACGCTACCTCAGCAGGTGGCCTCTGTAAGCACTTCTCAGGAACTCGTTGCTAATATGGAATAAGCTAACTGGAGCAAGGGATATGATATTACAGTCAATCTAGATGGCCATGAGAAACCCATCAGTGTTCTCCATTCACAGAAATGAACCTGTGCAAGAGGCTATTACCATCCAGGAGTTCTGCCACCTTACAATGCCCTTATGGACTCTCCAGTAGTGAGGGTACCTTAGATGGTAGTTTATCACAGAAACAGAAAGGAAGGCATTTTGTCAGTGTCTGAAAGCCATGGTCACTGCATGGTATTATGGCGTTATGTTGTTTTGCTAGGACCTGCATAAGCTGTATCCTAAGGGTAGGTGGTGGTCTTCCCTCAAGGGTAAGATTGCTGCCACTTGGCTGCTCTCATGCATTGGAAAGGCCTCTGGGGGCAAGTAGTGAAGATTCTGCAAGGTAGGCTAGGAACAGGAAGAGGGACCAGAATAGACACTTTTGGGTCCCATAAAAATGAGAACAGGGGCTTGGCGCCCGTAGCTCAGTGAGTAGGGCACCAGGCCACATACACTGAGGCTGGCAGGTTTGAGCCAGGCCGACTCGGGCCCAAACCTGCTGAACAATGACAGCTGCAACCAAAAATAGCTGGCGTTTTGGCAGACACCTGTAGAACCAGTTAATCAAGAGGATGAGGCAAGATAATCACTTAAGCCCAAGAGTTTGAGGTTGCTGTGAGCTGTAACACCAGAGCACTCTACTAGGGCGACATAGTTAGACTATGTCTAAAAAAAAAAAATTTTTTTTTTATAACAGGGCCAGTCACAGAAAGAACTGTAATTGTTCCTGGTACCTGTTTAGATTTACAGAACCTTCTCCCTTTAGTCATACCCTTCGTGTATGATGATCTTGTCTCAGCTCTATTCCAAGGAGTTAAGAAACACAATACATAGGAATGTCCTAATATGCAGAGTTGTAACAGGTCTAAAAACAAGCCACAGGAAACTGAAGTCCAAGGGGAGCTGTCCACAAGATCCAATATTGAAGGTTCTAGGGCTTGAAACAGGGTAGCACTTCCTTCAAAGATATAGGATATACCTTTGCATTCCATTCTTGAAAGATGACCTCCTTAAATGGAGATAATCCATTAAAAGAGGATCAAAGTGCCAGCTGGCACCTGTGGCTCAGTGGGTAGGGCACCAGCTCCATATACCGAGGGTGGCAGGTTCAAACCTGGCCCCGGCCAAACTGTAACAAAAAATAGCTGGGCATTGTGGTGGGCTCCTGTAGTCCCAGCTACTTGGGAGGCTGAGGCAGGAGAATCGCCTAAGCCCAGGAGTCGGAAATTGCTGTGAGCTGTGTGACATAATGGCACTCTACCGAGTGCAATAAAGTGAAACTCTGTCTTCTACCAAAAAAAAAAAAAAATCTGCTCTGGTTATTCAGGTGGAGGTTTTTCTGGAATGAAGGTCAACCCTTAAGGTTTCCATAGTCAGCTGGATAGAAAACAAGAGATACCACCCAATTCATAGACTATACACATTAACTCCCAGAAAGCTCTTGATTATACTGTTTCACTTTTTTTTTTTTTTGAGACAGATTCTCATTTTGTCACCCTCGGTACACCATGGCGTCACAGCTCACAGCAACCTCAAACACTTGGGTTCAAGCGATTCTCTTGCCTTAGCCTCCCAAGCAGTTGGGAATAAAGGCACCCACCACAATGCCTGGTTATTTTTAGAGACAAGGTCTCACTCTGGCTCAAGCTGGTCTGGAACCTATGAGCACAGGCAATCCACCTGCCTCAGCCTCCGAAGTGCTAGGATTACAGGCATAAGCCACCCCGCTGGGCCCATTGTTTCATTTTCTTAACATATAGTTAGAACTATGTATAATATTTATTATTAACTATGGCCTTTTATACCCTACCCCACTAGAACCTAAGTGACCTGCATGGCATGGGCCTTGCCTAACTTATTTACAAGTATAACTTCACTGTATGCCAAGGCCCAAGGCCTGGCACATAGCAAACCGTAAAATGTTTCCTGGATTAAAGTTTTCACAGCATTAACCATAACGACATTGCTCTACCACAACACCTTCTTAACCTAGGCTGGACATGGTGGCTCAGGCATGTAATCCTAGCACTCTGGGAGGCAGAGGCAGGTGGATTGCTCAAACTCCAGACTGTGCAAAAGCAAGAACCTGTCTCTACTAAAAATAAAAAATCTGAGGGAAGAGGATTGCTTGTGCCCAAGAGTTTGAGGTTGCTGTGAGTTATGATGCCACAGCACTCAACCCAGGACAGCTTGAGAGTCTGTCTCAAAAAAAGAAGAAACTTAACCAGTGGTTCTCAGTCCCTTGACCAGGTGCACTGGCATACTCCCTTCTTCCCCTGGGACCTTGGTGAAAATGCAAAAATCTCAGAACTCACCCCATACCTACTCAATTGGCAGCTCTGAAGTAGAACCCAGCAGCTTATATGATAATAATTGTGCAAGGGATCTGCACTCCAGTTTGAAAACTATTCTTAATTGCATCTGGGGACTTACTCTACAGTAAGGACCTATGGAACCTATCCAAGGCTGGTTAATTGCATATGTTGTTATGCTCTAAAATAATTCATACTCAAGTTTATAAACCAGTCTTCAGTTAGTTTAGATCAAGGATTAACCTTCCTCATCTCCCTTTGGCAAGTATGGGAACCCTGTGAGACCCAACTGGCTTTAGCTTTCTTTACTAGAGTCACACATTTGAGAGGACCTGAATGTTCATCTCATGACATTTTGAGGGGCTTCACTGGACTCATAAGCACCTTGAAAACAATGGCTTTATTTTTCTGCACAGGGCTTGCACCTGTGGGTACTCAAAAGTTGTGAAGTACATCAAAGTTCACAAAATCTCCTGCCCTCAAGGTCTATCTCCAGCTTGGGGCTGTCTAAACTGCATCCTGATAAACTTTCTCCAGCTCACTAAGCAAAATTATTTCCCTCTTTTGAGGTGCCAGGATGTTGGCTACTTTTTCTGGATATCTTCCACTCATCTTTCTGCATATTGATCATGGGAATAAACAGTGGGTGGAGCACATTCAAATTTCTGCCACCTAAGCACCACAAGGATGATCAATCAGGAGGGAAGCCCTGAGCTACAGAATTCTAATTGCTGACCAAGATCAGGTGTGGCCTATTATTTAGGTCCCTCAAAGGACACATGAAGAACCAGTGTATGAATACAGAGAATGGGACTAGAATCCAGAAACGGTGTTTCATTTATTCGCTGAAAAAGAGGGAGATCGGGTCTTCTTCATCCATTCCTCCAATCTCTTAAAGCTCCCTCCCCTCATTTCCCCAAAATAACAACACACTGAGAAACACTTTTATACAAAAACCACGTATTATTCCCCCCCTCCCCCAAATCAGGCAGCTGTATTACAGGAATAAAACCAGATTGAAGACATGAAAAGAAAAAGTCAACACTTACACTGAAACATAACAGTGTTAAGAATTCAGGTATTTTGTAGGATTATTACCAGCATAGTAAAAATATTTCCACCTGGAATCATTTAAATTTGAAAGTGATCACATTAAAGACCTGAGGTTATAAGGGACCACAGTATGAACCAGAATTCCATTTTACTTCTAGAACTCCAGGGGAAAAGGTAATAAGTATTTGGAATGAGTTTCCTTTGGGAAAAACTGGCAGGAAGTAAGGAAAACCCTGGCCATTATCAAAAGGCACTAGAGTCTTTCTGGAGGCAAATGCATTGGAACTAAACTTCAGTAGGAATAAGCTCATTCTCATTTCCACACCAAAAGTCCAGAACAAGGTCTCTTTGCTTCCAATATTCCAGTACTCTGATGGTGACCAGGGTCCCTGATTAGAGGCAAACCTGAGGGTTTGAAAGGCAAATCTCAATTGTGGTTTTATTTTTATTTTTTTGCTTTCTGATATTAAGGAAAAAGGTTCTAAGGTGTTTTACAAACACCTCCCTACACCCTCTAGTATGCAAAGCTTTAGGAAATATATAGAAAAAGATCCAAAAGATGTTCCACCTTGCATTCTAAATAATGGAACTGTTACTTAAGAATGTGAAGTGAAGAAGCCAGGCGCTTTGGAAACCAAGCCCTACCAAAAAAACCCTTTTCTCCATTCATAAAAGGATAAAAGAATAGAATGGAGGGAAGGACAAGAAGAGAAAACCAAGACTCTAAAGTAACTCTTTAGCACAGATAGGGGCTCAAACCCTACCAAAAAAATCCTTTTCTCCATTCATAAAAGAATAGAAGGGAGGGAAGGACAAGAAGAGAAAACCAAGACTCTAAAGTAATTCATTAGCACAGATAGATATGGGCTCAAATTAAGGCATTTTGTGGCTCTTCCTCTGGAATGGCATTCCATCTCCCAGTATGAGCACCTTAAACCTCAAAGCATGATGCTCTGACTGCCAAGAGAATTCCTTGGTACCTTCAGCATCTCTTTGAAGACTCTATGATAGATGGAATGTGAGATCTTAAGGAAGGGAAGGGAGAAGATGTGTATGAGAAGTTGATGATCCTGCCTTGCTTGTCCAATCCCATCCCAAATCTAAAGTACCGCTTCACAAAATTCCACTCACCCTGGCTACTGCAAGAGGTAGTTTGGGGACCTGTACCCACAGCTATCCTAACCAAGTTCCACGAGCTAAAGTGTTTAGCACTATCTACTTTTTTTTCTTTTAAAGGGTTTTTTCTTTTTTTAAAGAGGAAAGAAAATAAAATAAAAAAAGAATGCACACAAAGCAGTGAATAGTAGGCTTGATTCAGTGTGGGGCCACTGCCCCAGACTCCTAAAACATTCTTGGGAAGCCTAGGAAACTAAGGAATGCCTCCCAATATTCCAACACTCAAAAGCTCACACTGCCCCCAGAAAAACAAAACAACCTCCCATCCCCCATCCAACAAATCATCTGCATAGAAAACCAGAACCAATAAGCCTGGGGAAGGAGTTAATTTGTTCTAATGTTGTGCTCTCCTGTACCATGTACTAGCTAAAGTGGTATGCTCTGCCAGGCAGGGTGGAGGCCTTCACAGTCCTCACTAGGGAATAAAATCAAGTGAGGTCTTCCTTCCCCATCTCTTTTAATTTTGGTGCAATTATATGTCACAATTCACCACCAGCACCACTCTTAGCTCAGATAAGCAGAAATAAGGTCACTTATAATGCCTTAAGGTTTATCCCCTATGGCTATCCCCTTCTGCCCACTACCATTTTTTGGTTCCTATTAACTTAGGTTGCTCTCCCTTAAAACAATAATGACAACAGAAAGAAAGAAGGTAATGACTATAGAGTATTATCCATAGAAGCATAAGACAAAACAAAAAACTGCAGGAAACCAAAAGTGATAAAGATATGGAATACTAATGCTGACAATATGTGCTGAGAAACTGTCAGCACACCCCTACCCCAGAACAGGGGAGATGCAAGTTATTTTTAGGATGACCAGGACACACCGTCACCACAGGTTTCCCCTTGAGTATTGGCTGAGGACCTGACGCACTAAGTGTCAGAGAATGGAGAGGGGTGGCAAGAGGAGTGGGGAGGAACATGTACTTGGGGCTGTAAGAAGAAAAATCCTGAAAGAAACCCAAGAAAGCTGAGAAATCCAAGTCTTGTCATCCCCACTCCAGCTAGTGGCAGTGGGCATGAATATTCCCTCTATCTTCCAGGCTAAGGAGCGGCCGAGGCTGGTGGTCCTGGAGGAGGTGGAGGGACCCCATCAGCAGGTGGTGGTGGTGGTGGCTGCTGCTGCGGCGGCGGAGGGGGATCTGTAAATACAACCAAGAATAACTTGTCACTGCTAGAAACACAACGGACTTGGGGAAAGGCCCACTGAGTATAAAAATGACATAAGAAATAATTTTCTTTGTGGCAGGCAACCAATGCAGCCTTGTAAGGCATTGCTGTCACAATAGTCTATGTGGGTCAGTTCCTTCTTAACCTTTGGGCCACTGCTCATGGTACTTACCCTAATTCAAATGGTTGGGGGAGTGGGAGGTGTCTTAATTTGTCCCACCCTCCTTAAAAGCCCACTGCTTCTGAGTATCAATTCAGACCCTTTCAGAACTTACTTCTATTTGGATTTTAATATATTTTAATGGGCTCTCTACTAATTTTATTTCTTTATTAAATAAGCTCCTTCCACAGCAAGTTCCATGCTTTTTTCCCCCCTTTTCTCATAATGCTTAGCCTACCTAGATTCAAAACAAAGGACCAATAACTTTTTTTCTTGAGACAGTCTCAAAATGTTGCCCTCAGTAGAGTGCCATAGCATCAGAGCTCATAGCAACCTCAAACTCTTGGGCTTAAGTGATTCTCTTGCCTCAGCCTCCCAAGTAGTTAGGACTACAGGCACCTGCCACAATGCCCAGCTATTTTTTAGTTGTAGTTGTCATTGTTTGACAGGCCCGGGCTGGGTTTGAACCCGCCAGCTTGGTCTATGTGGCTGGTGCCCTAGCCGCTGAGCTACAGGCGCTGAATCAATAACTTTTTAAAATTTTTTATTTTATTTTTTATTTTTGAGACAAAGTCCCCCTATGTCACCCTCCGTGGAGTGCTGTGATGTTACAGCTCAGAGCAATCTCAAAAGTCTTGGGTTTAAGTGATTCTCTTGCCTCAGCCTCCCAAGTAGCCAGGAGTATAGGCACCCATCACAAAGCCTGGCTATTTCTAGGTTACTTTTGTCATTGTTTAGCAGGCCTGGGCTGGGGTAGAACCTGCCACCCTCAGTGTATGTAGCTGGTGCCCTAACCACTGTGCTATGGGTGCTGAGTCGGTAACTTTTTTTTTTTTTGAGACAAGAGTCTCAAGCTGTTGCCCTGGGTGGAGTGCCGTGGTGTCACAGCTCACAGGAACCTCTAGCTCTTGGGCTTAAGTGATTCTTTTGCCTCAGCCTCTCACATAGTTGGGACTCAGGCACTTGCTACAACGCCTATTGGTTGTAGTTGTCATTGCTGTCTGGTAGGCCCAGACTGGATTTGAACCCGCCAGCTCTGGTGTATGTGGCTGGCACTCTAGTCGCTTGAGCTACAGGTGCTGAGAGATAAGCCAGTAACTTCTTGATGATTAACTATTTTCATCAGGGCCAGAGAGCTTCACTTGAGGCAGCCACTGACAAACTGAATAATCCAGGGAGGACTCCATAGCTCCTAAACTGCAGTTCTTGGATTTGGGGCTAATTTAGGTCAGGTCCTGAGGAAACAATTACTGTGAGTGCCTGGCGTTCTTTGCTACTTCAACTTTAGCTGCTTTAGTGTACAATGGAACCCTAGAGATCATTTAATCCAGGGATTTTATAACTCCAAGATTTTGCCAGAAATGAAAACATATGAAACGACTTATTAAAGTACAGCATTTCTGGCTCAGCGCTCATAGCTCACAGCTTAGGATGCCAGCCACGTACACCGAGGTTTGCAGGTTCGAACCTAGCCCAGGCCTGTTAAATAACAATGACAACTACAACGAAAAAAATAGCCAGATGTTGTGGCAGGTGCCTGTAGTCCCAGCTACTTGGGAGGCTGAGGCAAGAGAATTGCTTAAGTCCAAGAGTTTGAGGTTGCTGTGAGCTATGACGCCATGGTACTCTACTGAGGGTTACATAATGAGACTCTGTCTCAAAAATAAATAAATAAATAAATAAATAAATAAATAAAGGTGCCGCCTTTCTCACCAATTCACCCAAATGTATCCCTAAGAGGTTTCCATCAAATCCCTAAGACTCTTTAAAGCATTCTGAAGCCCACTGATCTAAACCCTTGTGTCATTTTTCAGTGGAGGAAACTAAGGCCTGAAGTTTCCTGACGCAACTCATCCAGTGCAACCTGCTCAGTACCCTAGAGCCAAGTCAGCAGCACAGAATTCCCGGAGCACTCACTTATGGCAGGAAGTGGGTGGGAGTGGGAAGGGTGTCAATGGAAACCTTCCACATTCTGAAGGTGCTCCATAAGGGCTCTTTGGGATGGAATCCTGAAGTGACAAACCATGGCTTATTAGTAGGATATGACAGTAATGAAGACCAATGAGATTATATCTGCAACAGGATGGCAAACTTGTCAACACACCTGATAGGCAAGTGCATTTGTGTACTGCCTCTAATGTAGCTTGGCAAACATTTTCTTGCCAAAAAAAAAGAGGGACCCATTATATAAGAACCTCTGACCACTAGGCTTAATGGAGATCATTTTTCCTACTCTGTGATGCTATACACCCAGTTAAACCACTGCCTTTCTTCTGTGCACTTACTTTGTTCTAGCCTGAGGGTCCAGTGATGAATGAGACATGTTTCTGCCTCTGAAACCTACCTCCTTGCCCTGAGAAGCCTCCCAGAGTACTACGGTATACTTAAGGCATGCTGTAGTCTCACGTCACTATTAGTAAATCCCAATCACTACTGAATTTTTCATTTCATAGTTTCCAGACTAAAGCTCCTTCCTACAAGCCAGGAATTCTTATGCTTCCTTCTCTCTATAAATTGTGAACAAGACTTAACTTTAGTCCACATATGTGAACTCCTAAATAAATTTAGGATTATAGTTATGGTTGGGGTATCTGGCCACTACTGGCTGCACTTCCAATCTTCCTCACTTTAAAGGCCTACAGGATACAATTGTGGCCAGAGCCCTTGAAACAACCCTCTGGAAGTCAAGGGCCTATAATAAAAATGACCTGGCCTCTGTATGCAGCCTTTGACAGACATCATTTGGCAGCATCAGGGTTTTCTCCACTAAGCCTGCTGGGGCCTCATATTCATTTCAACATAGCCCCTAAATTCTCCTTTCTTAGTCTATGCAGACACTACCAACATATCAAGAATGGCTACAACAGACTTTTTTTTTTTTTTTGGAGACTCACTATGTCACCCTCAGTAGAGTGCTGTGGCTTCACAGCTCACAGCAACTTCCAACTCTTGGGCTTAAGCTTCTCTTACCTAAGCCTCCCAAGAAGCTGGGACTATAGGTACCCACCATAACACCTGGCTATTTTTTGGTTGCAGTTGTTCTTGCTGTTTAGCTGGCCCAAGCTGGGTTCGAACCTGCCAGCCTTGGTGTATGTGGCTGCGCTGTAACCACTGTGCTTCGGGTGCCGAGCCAACAAACTTATTTCTTACTCCAGCTCTAAATTAGTCTCTATTCTTTTCTGTACACTTACCATTTTTGAACCCTGCATTCATAAAAGGCTCTTGTATAGAAAATAACAACCAATAGCTCTGTATGTCTGCTGAGATTCAAACCAGACAGGCTTGAAGAAGAGAGGAATGTGGCTTTTTGGCTTCCCCAAAGAAACTGGTGCTGGGAGTACATGCCACAAAGGCAAATCAGCTTGACAGAGTGAAGCGTTTTGCACTTGTCACTTGTATACCTGTCCATCTGGGGTGCTATAAAGCTCTGACTGAAAATTGATCTTTGGAACCCATTCTCACAGACTGCATTGTCCATGGACCCACCGAACCTCAAAGAAAGAACAAAGTCCTTCTCCTTTATCCACAGCCCTTGAAGACAGATCCTGGGGTAATGCATCCCCCCACTTTGCTACTTACACATGCCGTTAGGTGCTGTGAGGGGTACCCGGGGTCCTAAGATATTTCCTGGTATTGGAGGCATACCAGGAGGGGTAGGGCCACTCCCAGAAGGATGGATGTTGCCTGCAACGGTGGAAATCATGCGGCCTGGCATGGGCTGTCCAGGTATGATGGAACCTGGGCCTGGTATCTGACCTGTAGAAGGAGATTTAAAGTACTGTAAGTACATTAGGAAGGGATATGAAAAAGAGATCAACTTAAATGTTAAATACAGGCAAATACCTAACCCTCCAAGGGATCTGAAATACCAAGAGAGCACTAATCTATCAATTTCTAGGTCTAGGTTTTTGGGTTTTTTTTTTTTTTTTTGAGGCAGAGTCTTACTTTGTCACCCACGGTAGAATGCCATGGCGTCATAGCTCAAAGCAACCTCAGACTCCTGGGCTCAAGGGATTCTCTTGCCTCAGCCTCCTGAGTAGTTGGGACTACAGGTGCCCAGAGCAACACCTGCCTATTTTTAGAGGCGGGGTCTTGTTCTGGCTCAGGCTGGTCTTGAACTCCTGAGCTCAGGTGATCCACCTGCCTCGACTTCCCAGAGTACTTCAATTATAGGCATAAGCCACGGCGCTTGGTCCTATGTCTAGGTTTTTATTTTTTATTTATTTAGGGGGCTGGGCCAGTCTGTGGAGTGACTATTCTAAACTCTGGCACAGGAAAGTAGTGGTAAGTAAAAATTACAAAGCACACACTCATAAACAAAAGCACTCTTTCTGGTTAGTCTGGGGGGAGTGGAATATTATCAAATGTCTTCATGATGATACACAATGCCGAGCACAGGGAATGGACAGAAGGACTTGAACAGGAAGCCAGGGCATAGTCCAAGTATCACTGCTCAATCCAGATTGTGCTTCATGTACAAGTATTGAGGGAAGGTGTGTCTGAAAGGATACTTGTATTGGGCGGTGCCTGTGGCTCAGTGAGTAGGGCACCGCCCCATATACCAAGGGTGGTGGATTCAAACCCTCCCTGGCTAACTGCAATAAAAAAATAGTTAGGCACTGTGGCAGGTGCCTGTGGTCCCAGCTACTCGGGAAGCTGAGGCAAAAGAATCACCTAAGCCCAAGAGCTGGAGGTAGCTGTGAGCCGTGACACCATAGCACTCTATCGAGGGTGACAAAGTGAGACTCTGTCTCTAAAAAAAACAAAAGAAAGAGGCTCAGCGCCTGTGGCTCAAGTGGCTAAGGCGCCAGCCACATACACTTAAGGTGGCAGGTTCGAATCCAGCCTGGGCCCAACAAAACAACAATGACGGCTGCAACGAAAAAATAGCCAGGCGTTGTGGTGGGTGCCTGTGGTCCCAGCTACTTGGGAGGCAGAAGCAGAAGACTTGCTTGAGCCCAGTAGTTGGAGGATGCTGTGAGCTGTGATGCCATGGCACTCTACCCAGGGGGACAGCTTGAGGCTCTGTCTAAAAAAAATAAATAAAATAAAATAAAGAATGGATACTGGTATTAGTATTGTGAAATTACCATTTAAAAGGGATTTCTGAATTGAACCCCAAAGTCCAGCCCACAAAAAAAAATCTCTCCCTGTAAGAGCACATCATGAAGCACTGGCCAGGAAGAAGCACAGGGGAAACAGAAAACTTCACGTCTTCCTGTTGTTTTGAAATTAATTTTAACACTAAAAATAACTCCTGTATTAGGTTTCATACTGAGCCTTAAGAAGTTTTTTTTTTTGAGACAGAGCCTCAAGCTGTCGCCCTGGGTAGAGTGTACTATGGCATCACAGCTCACAGCAACCTCCAACTCCTAGGCTCAACCAATTCTCCTGCCTCCACCTCCCAAGTAGCTGGGACTACAGGCGCCTGCCTCAATGCCCGGCTATTTTTTGGTTGCAGCTGTCATTGTTGTTTGTCAGGCCTGGGCTGGATTCGAACCCGCCAACTCAGGTATATGTGGCTGGCACCTTAGCCGCTTGAGCCATAGGCACCGAGCCAAGCTTTCAGAAGTTTTAGTAAACTTTTTCTGTAAAGAGCCACATAGTAAATGGATTTCCTCCCAACCATTTAAACAGCAAAACTATTAATAGCTTGTAACCTGTCCAAGAAAAGGCAATGCTCTAAACAATGACAATCACAACAACAACAACAACAACAACAAATAGCCAGGCGTTGTGGCGGGTTTCTGTAGTCCCAGTTACTTGGGAGGCTGAGTCAAGAGACTTGCTTAAGCCCAAGAGTGTGATGTCGCTGTGAGCTGTGACACCACAGCACTCTACCAAGGGCAACATAGTAAGACTCTGTCTCAAAAAAAAACAAACAACAACAACAACAACAAAAAACCCCCCCAAAACAGGCAATGAGTCAGATTTGGTACTTGGGCTATACAGTCTATCAATCTTGAGCACCAAACTAAGATAATTTCTTCCACAGGCACAAATCAAGGTTGAAGCTCTTTTACACAAAACAAATTTTTCTCCCTGCAGAATAAAGAGACTCTATTTCTTCTACAATATTTTATTTTTAAAAAGTCTATGTAGTTTTTTCTTGATTTAAATCTAGGGGATTTAGTATTTATGGAAGGCCAATTGTACAAAACTGAATATAGGTTTTTAGACACAGCACTGTTGAGATAGCTGGAAGTAAGAAAGCTTGAGGCTGGACACAGTGGCTATTGCCTATAATCCTAGCACTCTGAGAGGCTGAGGCAGGTGAATTGCTTGAGCTCAGGAGGTCAAGAGTTATTTGAGTAAGAGGGAGATCCCTGTCTCTACTAAAAAATACAAAAACACTGTGGTGGGTGCCTATGATCCCAGCTACTTGGGAGGCTGAGGCAAGAGAGTCTCTTGAGCCCAAGAGTTGAGGTTGCTGTGAGCTATGAGGCCATAGAACTCGATCCCAGAGCAACTGAGTGAGACTCTCTCTCAAAAAGGCTAGGGTCCAGGCGGTGTCTGTGGCTCAGAGGAGTAGGGTGCCAGCCCCATATGCCGGAGGTGGCGGGTTCAAACCCAGCCCCGGCTGAAAACTGCAAAAAAACCCCAAAAAACCCAGGGTCAGTGGCTAACACCTGTAATCCCAGCACTTGGGAGGCCAAGGTGGGTGGATTGCCTGAGCTCACAGGTTCGAGACCAGCCCAAGTCAGGGCGAGACCTCATCTCTAAAAATAGCTAGCTGGGTGTTGTAGTAGGTGCCTATCATCCCAGTTACTGGGGAGGCTAAGGCAAGAGAATTACTTGAGCCCAAGAATTTGAGGTTGCTGTGAGCTATGACACCATGACACTCTAATGAGGATGACAAAGAGAGACTCTGTCTCAAAACAGACAGACAAACTAACAAAAACTTGAGGTCTAATCTTGGAAAATTTGGGAGACTGTGACCATCTGAGAGCTAACTGACATTTAAAATACATAGAGTAGTACTAAAGATAACTCAAGTGAAGACTTCTGTCCCTGTTTAGAAAAAGGTCTGTCTTAAAGAGAGACAGGCCAGGTGCAGTGCCTCATGCCTGTAATTCTGGCAGTCAGGGAGATTGAGGAAGGAGGATTGCTTGAACTCTGGAGTTTGGAAACCAGTCTGAGCAAGACTGAGACCACCATCTCTACTAAAAACAGAAAAATCAGTCAAGCATCATGGTACATGCCTTTAGTCCTAGCTACCTGAAAGGCTGAGGAAGGAGAATCATTTGAGCCTCGGAATTTCAGGTTGCTATGATCTATGATAGTGCCTCTACACTCTATCTGAGGTGAGCAAGCAAGACCCTCTCTCTCAAAAAATGGGGGACGTTGGAAGGCAAATCAAAGAAAAATCATGGGAACAGCAATCCAAAAAAAAAACCTCTGATCACCTTCTAATTAATAGTGAATAATTTGGGATTCTGAATGAGGTATAAATAAAGAAAAGGGATTAGGGATAGGACAAATCCTAAACACATGGCCTAGCATGAGTTAAACAATCAGTAAATAATGTCACCCTCATTATTCCTGAAAGATACCAATTATGTCTATGTAAATCTTCATAAAGATATTACTATATCCCTCTGTGATACCTTATCCTAATTAACATCTGCATTTCACTGAGGTGTACTTAGGTTAAAAAAAAAAAAAAGGCTCGGTGCCTGTGGCTAAAGCGGCTAAGGCGCCAGCCACATACACCTAAGGTGGCGGGTTCGAATCCCCAGCCCGGGCCCGCCAAACAACAATGATGGCTGCAAC